ATTTTCCCCCCAAAATTGAAATGCATCGTCTTCATATGTATCAGTTATTCCTAAACACTGAATATTTGGGCGCTGTTAAAAGTAGTTTTTTTTTTCACTACAGATTTAAATGGTGGTTTCCAAATCAGCATTTCCAGATCCACAAGGTTATTTTGTGACTGAAACACATCAAAAGTACAATCATCTGAGTTTTACCTCGAAGCAGGACATTATGCTGACGATGCTCTGAAAGCCACCAGAAGTTGTGGACTGCAACAGAATATGTGTGAGGGAAACCCTTTGTAAAGAGTCTCGTCAAAAGAAGAATGTATCAACGGGGTCAGCAGCTTTTTTCCCCTTTTTTCATATTAATCTCTTCTGGGACGCTGAATGCTTCCCAGCAGCAGGCCACCAGCAGCTGAGTGAACGGGACAGAGCTCATTCTGCCACAGACTCCCACTGCCATTTCCACAGAGCTCTGCATGGAGCCACAGCTTGCTTTTTTTCAGGAAGCAGCAAAGGATCTCATTGTGAGTGAGTCAAATTTCTGCTGACCCCAGTCTCATTAGATCCAACATCATCATCAATGCATCCACTGAGCAGTTTTAAGGGCAGCGATGTGACTTGATCTTTAAATTTTGCTCACTGTTCCGTTTTGTGTTTACTGCTCTACATTAATTGTAGACATAAATCTCATAATTGTGCACATACACAGATATGAGTTGAATGAAGGGAGGCGATGGACAACATTCATTCCCAAAAATAAAAGGAAGCCACAGTCGATTAGTTTAATCATAAAGAGTGACTAATAAATAGTGTTGGACTGTATAACTGCAAAATAAGCTCATACAGCTCTTACATGGTATAATATCGCATGTTCTTGCAGTTTAAAACAATCCTGTTGTCCAAATCAAACCACTGATCAACACTTGTCTCTTGTGCCTTCTTGTGCAAGTCAGTTGCAGTCTTTACTGAACTAATCAGCGGCAGCCTGACTGCACGGAGCAAGACAGGACAAGAATGTAAAAACATCTTCTTTGACCTAAAATCTGCCACTCCCTCATTTACTCACAGACAATAACCGAGGTGAAAATGTTGATTGTGCACGGTGGGAGGCTGGATTAGCTAATTGTTTATTCCCCAGAGCTATCAGAAATGACTCCCTCTTCTTTTAGTCACACATCGAAGACCATGAGATCATAAAATGAGACTGTGGCTCAGGTAGAGTGGGTCTTTGTGTATAAATGGGATGGATCCTGAACCCCCTGTAATAATAGAAAATGCACTGCAGGAAAAAGTATTAAAAACACATGAACGTGGCTTGTGTGTAAAGTGTAGAAAAGCACCGCTCAAATTCAAATTATTTAAAGCATTAAAGCCTGTTGATGACATAATGATACATCATACAGCGTTTAATTCTTAAGATTTTGCAGGATCGTAAAAATGTGTTGTTAACATTAACCTAGTGGTTCATCTCAGTAAATCATCTGATTGATTCTTTTACTAAAGGCTCCTATCGTTTCTCTAAGTGCAGCAGAGGGCCAGCACTCCAGCCTCATGATGCTCTTCAGTTGCTTTGATACTACTGTCCTGTTAGCAACACTGTAACAGCAGCAGGCAGCAGAGAGAGAAATAAACACTTGACTTTTGTCAACATCCACTGAGCTGCCACCTGGCTGGCACACAGACAGACACATCCAGTGAACAGTAATGAGCACAAAGAGAAGGCTGGTGGGGGTCTATAACAACAGCCAGCAGATGTTCCTGAGAAGGAAGTCACCTCTGCCTTTAGGGGCAGCAGCTGGACTGTGGTGCTTTTGCACAGCTGACTGAAACAAACGTCTGTAGGATCTGAGAGAGGAAGTGCGAGTCCAGTGTTTGGACCCGAAGCACAGACCATCATTGTATCACTTTTAATAGCTCAGAGTTTTTCCTGTGACGCTTGGGGTGGGGGGTGTTAAAAACTAGGTGTGTACTTAAAATAGTATCCAATTTATCATGAACAAACACAAAAGCTAAACTGAGAAACAAGGTTGTTTTCAGCGTAGCAGGAAGAAGGATAAGCGATTGTTAATCAGGGGCAATCCCCTGCATTTTGGCCAGCCAGCCATTCTAGTGAACTTTGCATTTTATTGCCATCCAAAGTTCGCATGACGTACCAAACCTCTTCACGCTGGAGAACGTTTGGTCATGTTGACTTCACCAAGGAAACACGGCATCAAAAACACCATATAAGTCGAAACTGCCGTGCCTGAACAGCGGATGGACCTTTCCTCGCTGTGGCGCGATCACATGCAGGCTGTTTTATGGGTGCTGTGTGCACAGCGCAGAGTGAAGTGCAGTGCAAGGCTGCTGCTGCTCATGCAGCCAGGCGTGACACATGGTGCAGCAGCAAAGCTTTGCTGCGGTTTTACGAACTTCTCTCCATCCTGTTTCAACAGCTTAATCTTTCTTTACAGTTTATCGTACTCTAAAAGAAGAATCTTTGCTGGTCAGGAGATCCGTTGCTGCACCAGCGCACACTTCACACTTTGTCCGAAAAAGGAGGGAAGTCCCGTTTCAGCGAAAAGGGCATCACCCAGAAAACACACCCGAGAGATGCTCCGCTCAGCTAGATCTCTGATAGCGGAAATGTTGTTTTCTGACGTGCATTAATCGCTTTTTGCCATTTTCTGACGGGTGCAGCCTACCCGACGAACATTTAACAGCGCCGCTCTGCAACTTGTAGCATGCACGTGCACGTGAAAGTGCGCACACCGTTAACAAAACTTCAAAAAGCTGTCAAAGATCCCAAAGTCCGTGACAGTGGGAATGAATGCTGCTCTCCAGCTCGAAAGCAGATTATTACTAGTCACCCAACATGTTATAACACAGCAATGTGGACAGCTGTGCGCTGCAGCTTCTTCTTCACCCCAGGAAGTCAGAGGAAGTGGTAGAAGTTTGGAGGAGGATGTTAGTAGGGCCACGTCTATAATCAACTCACTTAAAAAAAGACTTTTTCACTGTGATGTTTGAATAAACTATCCATGCCCATTCGACATCCTAACATTTATCTCCGCCAGAGCTGTCAGTCACTGCATCTACTTTAAAATAAACAGCACATTTTAAAATTTAAAGCCATCTCTGTCTCAAACTTGAAATCTTACCTGTTTGCAGGTAAAAGCAGCCGATTTGAAGCGCTTACAGGTGATTCCGCACGTTTGTTTTTCCTTCTACAGGAGAGCACAGTTTGCCATTCACGCAATAAATAACCGACAGTCGATGCTGAAGCGCAAAACACATCCAGTCCTGATGAGGAAGAAGTGAAAACTGTCTCAGGTGATCAGAAAACTTGAACGGCACCAAACGAAACTCGACTAAAAACAATAGGCAGCGGCGTTGATGCGTCTCCAGTCAAGACTATTTACAAAACAGACCTATAAATGAAAAAAGACAGCAAAACAAAGTAAACTTCCACAGATGTATCGCCTCTTTTGTGTCGTCCTTCCGTTTAGAGGGAGAAATAAAAACTCCCGCCACGGCGATAAGTATTACTCAGTAAAATCGCGGTGAGTAATTAAAAAGGATTAAACTTAATTTGAGTCAAGTTCGCTCTGCGCTACTCCTTTTCCCCGTCACATTCAAGTTTTTTTTTTTTTGGCCCCACCTTGATTTTGCGCATGCGCGTTGCTGACAACTAAAAATAAGTCCCCACAGGATATGTCTCAGTCAATTCGGTGAAGGAATTTGATCATCGATGAGGCAATAATAACAAGAAACCAAGATACAGGGACAGCGTGGGTGCAGTTGTTTTCATTTAATTGGTTCAACCTGCAGATGTGACATATTAAGACTGAGCAGCACTTTGCACATGAGGCTTCAAAGGGAACTCACTAAAAAAAAAAAAAAATTCTGTGTTGCAAAGTTGCGTGTCTATATATTTCTCGAGTTAATATGCATGTCTGCCCTTAACATTTAAGACATATAAAAATGATTAAAAAGAAAAGAAAAATGGGGGTGCAGGGGGAGGAGGGAATCCCCATCTGCTGCTGCTGCTGCAAAAAGACTTGCACAAACATATTTCCTGTAAAAAGTCAGACTGATCCAAGTTCTTCGACTGTTCACATTTTATTGATATACAATCCTTTCTTTGTTGCCGTTGATGAGAAAATAGTGTTAAGTACACAAAGTTGTCATTACAGCAGAACAAAAGGGAACCACCATAAAAGTTTTATTCACTGCCCCCTAGTGGCCAAAGACGAACTAAACTCATTTTATTCACATTCAGCAACGCTGGCTGATGACGTTTCCAAGCCAGACTTGTCTCAACAGATGTGACATAACACATGCAGTCAGAGGAATGTTAGCGAAAGGACAAAATACTTAAGTATGAAAGTAACTTTGGGCAAATCGGTACATGAAGTCTGTGCAGATTAATTTACACAAAAGAAACAATTACAATGACTTTCAAAAATAAAAAATAAAAAAAATCCTCAGAATGTGTGGACTGCTTAAATTTAGCCTTTCTTACACCAATTTCAAAGAATACACAATCCAACTCCAAATAAGGGCACGTTAGAGAACAGCTATGCAGATCCGACACAGATTGGTAACCTCAACGTAATACACTTCTGGACACATTTCAAATCAATGTGGTGTTTCACAAGCAGCAAATGGTTACATTCATTGCTTGAAAGATCTGAGTAGACATGCCTCCAATCAAGGCATCAAAGGGAAGAAAAAAAAAAAAGCAGCTGCACGTGAACTTCACAGTTTGTGATTTAGTGTATTGTTAAATATCAGCTTAATGTCCTGAAATAAAAGTGTGAACACAAGAATCAAGAATATTTTGTGATTTCCACGATTGCCCAATCCTGCAGTTCTTTTTTTTTTTTAAGCCAATTTTATTGGTTAGAAAGTATTCAAGTGTGGGACGCTGCATCAGCACAAATGAATTGAAATACATTTGAATCCCACCACACAGAAAGTAACATTTGGTAAAAAAAAAAAAAAAAAAAAAAAAAAAAAAAAAATCACTTCAACCTGTTCGGTCGGACTTATTTTTAGCCAAAGTGTCACTTATAATTGTGCCACTTCGGGCTCCGCTTTGACAGACTTCTATTAACTTCTGCATATGAAACATCCAATTCTGCAAAAACTTGCCGAAGTTGTGCAATCGCTTTGACCTCATCAAGTCTGCACCAGTTTTGATTGTGTAAAGCAAAGTTGGCTTTTGAATCCAATCTGTACTACCAAACTAAACAGGCAACAGCAACCCAACATCGCCAAGAATTAGCAGACTTGATAGTTCACTGTGAGAGAATATGGTATCAGTACTTAGTCTGCAGTCTACTGAATATTTTCTCCATAATACAGTAATGGCTGAAAGACAACAGACGCTGTATGAAAAATATATTTAACAAATCTAAACTCTAGTTGGCATTCGATGAAGCAATAAAGATTTTGCATGAGTTGTACAAATAGAACTTTGGGCCTTTCAAACAACAGTAAAGCCCTTCATCCCATAACTGTACCAAAGTTTAATAAACTTATTTCCCCTTAAATTATCATGAAAAGGTACGACTGCATCTAATTTACATGCCATGTCTTGTTTCCAGAGCCCTTATCATCACAATATAATTTGCAGAAGAGACAAAAAAGCTGTTGTAATCTGCAGCTCTTGTATTTGAACACCTTGTTATTTAGGACAAATATTACAAGCTTAATTCCCAACAAAGCATTACATAACAGTGACAGAATGTGGCAAAGTACTGCAGGCAGCAATGGAAAGACCAGCGTAAGCTTAACTGTAAGCCGTCAGATCCCAACACGTGTGAAAATTGTTCATGCGTGTAAACCGAGATGAATCTGCGTCTAATCACTGGAGTGCTTTGAAAGAAAGTTAGATTGCCATGACTTTCAGAACTTTCCTGTTTTAAATCAGTGATTGTCCTACTCACTTTAAATCTGAACATTAAAGCCCCTTACAGCCATTAAGCTGTCAGCATCTTAATGTGTCAACTTCATGTCTGAACAAGCACACAGTCACACACTCATAAAAGTCCCTGCAGCAATCTAAAACAGACTAACATTTACATATCATACTTTCAACATGGCGCACGTCTGAATGTATGCAGTCATTATAACAGACAAGTGTGAAGAGGATTATGACTGCGCGTCTCCTGCCTTTGAGAGCTCACAAAAGATAGCCCTAAACAGCAAAAACATGACGTAACATTTTATGCCACTGCATGTATTGTACAATAAGATGAAGCCTATAGTACACTTTTAGATTTTCACAATCCAGAACCAGGAGCTCTGAGTATGTGTGAGGGCTAAAGCAGACGCTCTTCTCTGCAGCACATACACAAAGACAACTAGATGCTGTGTTCTTCGTGACTACAGCACGGAGAACTAAATGTGGTTAGACTTTGTTTGACACAACGCTGACAATGATCTTTGCCACAAGTGCTGTGCACATATTGCAGATATGGCGTGCACGACACCATATTTATGTTTGAACTGACAGCAAGAGAAACTTTAACATAAAAAGTTGAAGAAACCAGCACTGTTCTCCTGTATTCCCTCTTTGAAACGGCTCTAATGTTGCATTCTTTGACACTTTGGTTATCATTATGAATTAACAAGACTTATTAGCAATCTTATTAAACTGCTTGCTATACCCTCCAAAAGTCTGTATTTTCAGAAATGCTTACATTTTTCCCCCTATCTCTATCTATATGCACTTAATCCTACTACGCTACTGTAAGATGCATCACCACTGGTCCTTCAGTATGAGGAAAAAGATCTGTTTGCACACGCCGAGTTAGAAATTTCACAGATAAACTGGAAAAACAGATCTAACTCTGGAATATAAGGCGCCAAAACCCAAACGGTCATGGAAGGTAAAAGATTTAATCTGTCAACATGACGTGAGATGTCGACCATCTGACCCGTTATGCCGAGTGCAAGGGGATGACAAATTTGCAGCCAAAGGGAGAATGGTATTTGATTCCCACTTCCTGGAACACCTGGCGAGGAATTCCTATGTCACACAGGTAGACCCTGCCAGCCCCTTCAGCTAAGGGGAGTGGAAGGCAAAGTGAGAGGGACCATTTGGCTTCAACTGCCTGCCCCTGGCCACTAGCAGGGGGATCTAAGCTTAGCACTGGTGCTCTGTTCTGATTCGCCCAGTCTGCAGCCGCCCAGTACCAAGGCTGATCCATCAGGAATGTGTTCTCATGACAGTCCAGACAGTTAATGATTAGATCCACAGGGGTGTCAGGGAGGTCTGTGAAGCCACAGAGAAAAAAGAAGAATGTCAAGGTATTTAGCAACGCTTTTGTTTTTAATGAAGCCAACAGTATTTGGAGGGGGAGAGATCAATAAAGCCACAAAACAAACCTACCTTTGATACTGGACACCTGTTTGCCACCAGTTTTGTTGAAGAGGGTGACCTCGCTGGTCACGGCGTCATGCATTTTGACAAAGTTTGGCAGAAACAGGACGACCTCCACTTCGTGATTGGCCAGGTGGCGACCGCAGCTGATGCCCTGAGCTCCCTGAACATGAGGGCCACACAGCAGTGCCACCGTGGGATGCTGGTGCAAATTCTTCGGGGTGAATCTGGAAGAAGCAGGAATAGCAAAGGTTTTATTTAGTACTTTAGAAGAACAAAATGACTAGGTTAATTAGTGTTGATGCGACAAATATGAAATAAACAGAAACAAGAGAGAAATTTAGAAAAGAATAAGTACTCTGAGAGCACAAACCTCCACCAAAGCAGCTCACTCTCTGGGGAGTATTTACTTTCTAGGGAATAGTATTGCATTTTGTATATATTCATTTTGGGGGTTTTACAGCTGTTTTCACTGCACTAAAAACTTCTTAAAGTATATTTAAAAAGAACAAAGTGAAACTGAAACCCATTTTAACTATAATGTGATACTTAGAATCCCCATATATTAGTATCATTTCCTAAATGTTGCCAGTTCAACAAAAGGCACATTTTAGAAAATTGCTTACCTGTTTGGCCCCCCTAGTAATGTAAGTGCCATCTGACTGGCACACACTCCAGTCATTTCCAGTCTCCTCTCCAGTGACAGACCATGGCGCTCAGCAACAGACAACAGACGCTTGTGCAGTTCGTAGGTTATACTCGGTACAACAAGTCCAGAGTCTGTGGAAAGTAAAGCAAACATCAATAAGGCTTAAATTGATTTACCTGCATCTCCACTTCATTCATTCCAATATAAAACACTTGCCGGTGCAGTATTCTTTGGCCCCAGGCTGCGGTACAGTAATCTGTCTGTACACAACAGGTTTGGCCTCCAGGATGTTCTCATCATGCCGGTACCGAGTAGGAGTCTGCTCCTGAGGTGTGCCGCGTGACCTCACACCATTACGACGCTCCGATATGTCAATCTCTGAGAAAACTGCTGCTTTGTCAAAAAGAGCCAGGTTTCCTTCAAAATCAAAGTCTGTGTCCAGGTAATCATCCACGCCGTCGCCAAAACACTCATCATCTCTCTGCTTCATCTGGCCATTCTTCACCCCATTCTTCTTCGGCGTCACTTGATTTACCCCTCGATTACTGGCTGACCCTGAGGGGATGATAAATATATAGTTAACCACTTTGCCACAGATTTTTAGTGAATTTAACAGCATTGCACTTACAGGAGTTATGTCTTCGACGGAATCCTTTAGGCTGGCCAGGTATGTCCAGATGACGCTCTCCATAACTTTTAGAGCAGTGCTGTGGAGAGTTCAGTTTCTCCACAGATCTAGGGTCACCCTTTGGGACTGCAACCGGTGCGCTGGTTACCTTTGCAGGTGCAGCAGAGGTAGTCCGACTATTGTCATTTCTAAAATCTAAAATCTTTAGGTCTTTTATGTCAATGGCACTGGGAAAAAAAATAAGAGTCAGAATGACGTTAAATAACAAAACCGATGAGCTAAAAAGTTGACAATGAGCTAACATTTAGTAGCATAGACTTACCTGAATGTGACCTCTGGCACGGGACACTTGACTCCATTGTGGAAAGGCTGTCTTAAGGAGATGGTTTGGCTGGACTGGTCTACAGATGATACTTCTCCCTGGTAGACTCCCAGCGTTGGTCCACAGTTAATTGACACCAAACTACCCAACCAATCCGCGGCCATTTCTGCAGCACGTGTTATTAAGAAAGAAAATATTAATTATGTAGCATTATTGTCAGAGAAGATTTCTAGAGACAGGAATCATCCTGTTAGCTAACTTTGTGACCAGGACATCAGAAATACTAGTCGTTCGGTTTTACTAGAGAGTCGTGACTAGCTTAGCCACGGCCTGCTATCAACCTTAGCTAAGTTTATATGAAGGTAATATCGCCTTGAAAAAAAAATTGTTTACCTTTTTGGAGTTACGGTGATGAAGAGCCCCCTGAACAATACAACTCAATAAACTGCGATATTAAGTGCTCATAAGAAAACTGTTTCTTCTTCAACTATTAGCTTCTTAGCTTTTTGAATGGAGCAAGCTTTCACGGTTTATACCACTTCCTGTTTCCGGAAGAAGTACCTTTTCGAAATAAGAGCTGAAGCTTAACAATTTTTTACCAGACAGCTGGAAATCTGTGGTGAAGCTTGTTAACTCATTAACTAAACTTGAAATTTCGACTATGGTATCTAAAAATTCAGACTTTCTCAGAAATGACTTCAACAGAAGTCAAAAAATTTGAGATACACAATTGTAATAAATAAGTCGACATTTGACTTTTTTTTTCTTAGTGGCAGAAACAAAGCTTCCACATAAACCTCAGTATAACCTCACTTCTAGATTTTCATTTGAAACAAATATTTTAAAACAAGCAAACAAAGACGTATATACATTTTTATCCATTTGTGTATTTTGTTCCCATAATTGTTGTGGTATTGATAGAAGAACTGCAATTTTAAAAATGTGTAACTGAGAAAACGAAGGTCATAATTTTAAACAAACATGTACCGAGTACTTCTTTGTACAAAATACAGATGTCATGATGTCTGACTTCTCATGAGTCAGAAATGGTGTGATTAGTGTCTCAGCTGGTGTGATCCCATCTCAGCATGGGTTCTAGTACCTACTTGCAAATGGCAAACCACTAATTCAAATAGATTTGGTTAGTAGAATATTGAGTCATTAAATATTTGTTGCTGGTGGAAAAATTTTCATTAACAGAGCAGTGCTTCTGAATAATGGTCTGACTTGCTAACGCAGAGAAACAAATTTGGATTTTGCCACTTGTGTGCAATATTTCACACTGATTTATAGAACTGCCCAAAGATTATCCATCATGTTGCTCCCTGAAGTTTAAATACAGAAAGAAAGAAAAAAAACAATCATATCAAGCATTGTTTTCTCTTTTTGTGCTTAGAGCGATCACAGTCAATCATTTACTGTTACGCATAATTAATCAAGGACAAGTTGGTCGTTTGGGAGATGCTCCTGACAACTCGTGTCAACAAACAAGTAAGTCAGCAGGCAAAGTGAGCTCATGCAGAGGCTATCCCAGGAGTGTTATCCGTGACACACTCACCCAACAGAGTCCTGTGTGCAGAGGCTGTCATGGATACACGCGCTAAAGGGCTATATGCTGAAAAAGGTGTTATCAAAGCTGCGTGATACTCCATGAGATGAAATGAGCATCCTCAGTGCACAAGAGAGGGTTTCTGCATCAAGGTAAGAGAAAGTGTCATTTAGTGCATCTGCAGAAGTCAGTTTAAATTTCACCATGCACATCTGTTCTTATCTCTCATGATACAGTTGATGACATGGCATACATGCATTTAGATATGGAGACTGGTGTGAAAAACACATGAAGAACAACGACCACTGAATTATCTAAATTTCATAAACACGGCGTAACAACCCCAAAGTGTTAAAACCAGATGATGATCATGAAGTAAGCAATTCAAATATCAAGACACATGATCTATGAATAGCCACAACACGTTGAGCTGTCATCTTTGTGTGAAAATCTGTCTTTGACACGTGGGCAGACGTGTGGAGTGTAACATCTCCCAAACAGAGAGGAGCATTAACTTGGATAGGAAGACGCTACAGGATGTTTAGGGGTTCAAGTCCATTTTCTTCCGCAGACCTGGATATGTGGGACACCAAATCTCGCTTTACAGGCCAGGCAAGATCAAGATATCATTTTATATTTCTGAACTTGAATAATCAGAAGGTAATTATTTAAAAGAAAATGCTTCCCGCCCCTCTTTTTAGACATCAGCATGGTGTGGTATGGCATCTGTATCAGGATCAGGCTTTCTGTCCAAAGTCAGCACAAGGTTGGGGGAATATTATATAGAGACATGAGTTTTCAGTGAGGTTGGTATATGGCTAATTTATGTGTTTCTGAACATCGAGCAGTGCTGGTGGCTCCAGGCAAAATGACCCAGGTCTAAGGAGGTGGCAATCATTGTCCCATCTGGGGCCTGAGAGTCCCACACGATCATTAGGGGCTGAGTTAAGGGCTGCCCGGGATGGAAGTAGCTTCAGACAAACAGAAGTGGTGCACTGGCTGCAGGAGGCTCACGAGCGACTTGAGTCTCAACTGGACTGGCTGAAGACCAGAGACATGCCGAGCTACAACGCAGCTATTGCACAGCTGCCTGGCAGGGCAAGTTGATTGAAATGTCTAAGACCAAATGCCTTATTTGTTTTGAGTGTGTTGATTTTTTCATTCTCTTTAGCTGTTTTGGATTGATTGCTACTCTGGATAAGTATTTGGTTTGTCTTGCACACAGCATCCTCTCACCATGTAATAATGTGTCCCATAGCAGCTACCACAAATGATGAAGGGCCTCGAGGATGAGAAGAAGGCTGCTGTATCAGCTGAAAATGAAAAAAGCAGACAGTGCAGAGAACTCTGTGAAAAGTAAGTCCAGGAAAAAAATATTTAATAATTTAAGAAAAAATTCTCACATGATATTTGCTTACAAGGGTCTTAAATCTGGAGAAGGATTTGTTACATATGAGGTCTGCTCTGGACAGAGGAAGCATCGATCAATCAACCGAGAGAGCTCCGGGCTCGCTCAACAGAACATTACCAGTGAGTCAAGAAGGTCTTAACAGACAGATGTTGAAGTCATTGGATTATTATAAAAGATTCACGCTAAACAAGGTGTGACTCCTTGTTCACCTTTGCTAAATGACACTTTTTCTAAAAAATGGTTTTAATCCAGGAGAAGCAGAAAGTTGACACAGAGATGCTGGAGTTGAGAGAGGCTCTGAAAGAGGCTGAGACTAAGGCAAAGATACTAGAAGAAGAGCGTAACAAGGCACTCCAACAGCTTCAAGCGTCTATTGAGGTGAATTTAAAAATATTACAATTTAACACAATGCTACAATCAAATGTCATATATTGTATTGCTCCGTTTTGTTTCACCAAATGATATCTGACTGTGTGGAACTTTTGGGGGTTTTCCTTGGGGTTTGATTCCAAGGGATCCTTTGGGTCTTGTGGATTGTGGGGTCCATCCTCTGTTGGATGGGCTTGTTTCAGTGGGTACTGGGGAAGATTGGAAGCCAGGCAGGGTGTGGTTGGAGCAATGGGTTCAGGGTGTGGTATCAGGGGAGACTGACCAAAATTCTGCATCCCCTAATTGAGCAGGATGCCGGAACAGAGTGAGCTGTGCTGCACTGCAACAAGGTATCTGGAAAGCTGCACAATCAGAAAAAGTTCACTTGTCTGGCCACACTGTGTGCATTGGGCCCTTTTCTGTTACATCAAGTGAACATGGACTTGTTCTGACTTGTTTTTGTGGTGTGGCACTCACACTGTCCTGTCGGAGGAGTTCGCTGCTGATGGGGAGTGCTGTAAAGGAGGTTCTTTGTGTGCACCGTCATATTTAGATGAGTGTTTTGTGTGAAAATACCTTCCCTAAGAATCATCAGCGGTTGATGGTTTCGTGTTATTGCAGATAGTTTTGTATAAGTGACATGAAAGTGTGTCGTGTGTCATGCATCAGTGGTGTTGCTATTTTCATCTCTTCAGTGTGCGCTCTGTTTCTGTGCACACCCAGGTGCAGAGGACGCTGTTGAGTCAAATAGAGGAGACGGACAAGAAGCTCAGCCACACTGCACGGGATCATTCTGAACTGCAGAAAGAGCTGAGCGAAGCCAACAACAAGATCAGTCAAGCATGCCTGGTCAGTTTGCCAGAATTCAGTATTTCATTGCACATCCACACTCATAAGCCTGATAAAGCTGACAATAAACAAAATTTGTTTTGACCAGTTAACATTGTATAGTTTGTGCTCTGGAGAAAAGAGATGTGATCCATTTTAAATGACAAATGTTTCATGATGTTACCAAATTGTTTTTTTTTTTAAACTTCCTTCAATGTGCAATCAAACTCCCATAAGTCCAGTTTTTACAACACACATGATCAAAATTAATTTAAAACATTATCTTCCTAATTTTGCTCAGGAAAAAGCCATCTTATCAACTCAAGTGTTGAAGTTGGAGGACAATATAAAAGAAATAAAGTCCAAACTGACTGAGGCTCTGTGTGACAAAGATCACCTGATACAGGTATTGTTTTTAACTGTGATGTGAGTGTAATCCACAGCATAGATCAAAGCACTGTGATTTATAACTACATCTTGGTTTTCGGGTGCGTTACAGGAGAAGACAAATCTTCTCCACAGGGTTCAAGTCCTGGAGATGCAGACTCACAACAAACAGCAGCAGAAAGATGTTGTGGTGAAGGAAGACTCAAAGGCTCTCAGGGAGGTTGTAAAAGCTTTTGAGGAGCTATTCTTTCAATAAGTTTTAGTTGGGAGGAGGGTTCTTAATTGAAGTATTGCCTTCCTGTAATTGCACCAGGAAAATGAAAAAATAAGAGGAGAGCTTGAAATGATCAAGAAGAGGCTGGAGATATCACACCACGAGCTACAGGAGCTGACAGATGAGAAAATCATAAACACCAAACAGGTCACCGATCTGGAGGTGCGGTGCTCTCAGCTGATCAGAGAAAAAGAGGAACTGCAGAGTGAAATTAAAGGCAGACGAGAAGAAATGCAGGAAAAGTGCTGTGAGCACAGGTGAGATGGAGATCAGACATATTATTTAATATGAGAAGATGCTTCTTTATTCGTTATTGACTATGCAGTGCAGTACAATTCTCTTTACATAAACGTCAAACTATTTCTTCAGGGAATCTGTGGAAGTCTTGGAACTAGAAAACCAGAAACTGAGGAATCAGTGTCTGCGTTTGGAGGGTGAGGTGTTTGAGAAGGAGAAGCGGGAGGAAGAGTATCGCAAACAAGATGTGGTAAAGGTCCAGACCATCGAGGAACTGAAGGCTGTGGCCTCACATTGGACAGAGAAATGGCAAAAAGTGGCTTTGACCCTGCAGTCTACACAAGAGGAGTTAGAGGAGTTAAAGAAGAACTCAAGAAATAAAGTAAGAACATCCTTTTACCATGCTCTTAAAGACATGAAGTATATCTCATATATATACTGCTTCTCCCAAATAATCATTTTCAGACACTACTACTGTACTAAA